CTTTGTTATTTTTCATTTTCATTTTAGGGCTTGCTCACATTCTTCTAAGGTAATTGGTTTATCTATATCATTTTTCTCATCATCTGTAAGTGTATTATCTAATGTAATATCTGACAGGTATTCATCAACATTTTCAGGCACAATATTATCTGTGCTATATAGTTCTTTATAGAAGTTTACAGCTTCTGCTAAAATTTCATGCTGATTAAAAATGTCCCTTTCTCTCTGCTTTAGCATATCAATGTTTGATTTGGTTACATTTTTCCTTTCTAGGTTAAGAAAAAATTTAGTACATTTCTCCCCCTCTTTAATCCATTTTGCTCTCGACCTTATGTATGCTCCTTTAGCCTTAGTTTCATATAATTTGTCTAGCTGCAGTTTACTTTTTCTAGTTTATTTTTAGCTAAGAAATCTCCATCACTATCGTCATTTTCTACAACTTCAGTCAGTGTTTTTATTCTGGTGATTAAATCATCTTCTATCTGTCTGCTTTTAGTGGCTCTTTTCTTACAGTAAGAAATGGAAAATTCTCTGATCCTTACATAACATAACTCTAATAGTAAACAATGTGGCAAATCTCCCTCTTCCCTTATTGTGTTTTGAATTAGCTTTTTAATCTCATTACAATACTGTTCTTCTTGAGAATTTCAGTGTTTAGTTTCCAATAGTTGGGGCCTCTATCCTTTGTTGTGTTATGTAGTTTAAGGAAAATAGCATTATGGTCAGTCTTAACACTAGGTCTAATATCACATTTCCTAACTGGACTAAGCATAGTTTTTGAAATGAACCAATAGTCTAACCTGCAAGCAACTTTATGGAAGTTATCCCTGTATGTAAACTGCCTAATCTCTTTGTTCTTTTCCCGCCAAATGTCGCAGAGGTCTAAAGATGAACAAAAATTCCTTAAAGCTATTGAAGACTGTTCTACATTAGTCATTCTCCCACCCTTTTTAACCTTATCCCTATAGAAGACTGCATTAAAATCTCCCCCAGTAATTACATCTTTATTGGTGTCACTGTTGAGCTGTCTTTTATCATGTATCCATTTAGTAAGGCTGGCTAGAAAGGAAATTCTCTCAATTACATTATTTGGGGCATAAATGTTAACTAATGTTAAATCTAAATCTCCAATGTGGCAATTTATTAGGATTTTTCTTCCCTCCCCCTTATCATCAAAAGCTTCAATGTTTTGTACATTACATCTTAAGCCGAAATAGATCGAAACACCTTTACTTTTACTGGTTCCACATGAGTGGAAACCCTTCCCACCCCAGTCTAAATCAAATTCAGTTTTTACTTCTAATGTTACATGTGTTTCTTGTAAGAGTATTACATCAGCTCTTTGGTTCTTACACCATTTAAATATAGTTCCTCTTTTAGATTTATCTCTAATTCCTTTAACATTTAAAGACAAACAATTAAGCTCAGCCATACTCACATGAAATTATCCAGTTTTGGTACATTTTCTGTCTTTTGGACATGAGCTCCATACCGGAACACAGAAAAGTCCTTAGCGTCAAATCCATAAGTCCGAGAGTCCAAAGAATCATAAGTCCGTTCCGTTCAAAGTTGTCAAGGGCGAGAAAACAGAAATCAGTCTCGCGCGCGTGTTTATGTGTTGTTCCACAGCTGCTCCACGTCCGGCCTTCTTCTGCGATGTGGGAGGGCTGGAATCGCTGGTCCTACTCAGCCCTCTCTTCCTCGGTGTGCTGGGTGTTACCGCACGCCTCCGTGCCTCCTTCATCAGCCTCGTTAAGGCTTCCCGCTCGTTGTGTCCCTCCTGCTGCCGGCTGGCGTCCCTAAGTCGTCTGCGGCCCTTCTTGTTGTCGCGTTTCGGCTGCGGTTGTGTCGTCGGGTTACCACGCTGATCAGCTGGTACCTCGGAAGTACTTTGGCTGGCCTCAGTGTTATGGCAACCCTCGTTGTTGCCGGAAGTGCTGGGCGATGGTTCTGCCGCTGGCTCCTTCTCAACGTACAGTCGGAAGCTTTCTTCAATGACATCTTCAGCCGATGGTGACTGAATTTCGGCTTCTTGGTGTTGCGGCGTGAGGTACTGACAGTCCGGGTCACCTTGCTTGTGTCCAGACATACCACAGCCCCTGCACACAATGTCATTGGGGCAGATCTTGCTATAGTGTCCCCTTTGTAGACATTTCCCGCAAGTTATGTCTTCTGGTTTCTTGTGGTGCTGTTCTCGATCCTGAGCGAACTTTACTTTACTTTACTTTATTTATTTATACAGGAAATTGCGCTCAGGTCATTTGACTTGTTTTTCAGACAATCCTGTTTTTTAAAAACAACACAATACATTCACAAATCACAATAACAACAGTTACACAATATACAGTTATATTACCAGATACGTTACATATCATGCATCTTTGTTAAGCGACGCTTAAATGTCCTGAACTCAGTCAGTGTTCTCAGTTCAATGGGAAGGTCGTTCCACAGCTGCGCGCCGTAGTGCTGTAGGCTACCACGATATGCTGCCACTCTTGCTGATGGACAATGCAGCTGGTGGGGGTCATAGTCCCGTAAACGTTTAGCTGCTGAACGTGTGTTAGCCCTTAAGGACGGCGGTGACATCCATTTGAACAGTGCTGACATGTACTGTGGAGATTTCCCGCGTACTGACTTGTAGACTGTAGCCAGAGAAACCGTTTCTAGCCGCTTATGACAGACT